AGAGGAGCACTCTCCTGAGTTTGAGAATAGGGTACCTGGAGTGCTATTTTCAAAGTATGGGAGCACTCATTTCTCATCAAAAATGTCATATGTCAATGTAGAAACGCTGTTTTTAAAGGCCGCGAGGAATAAAATTCTTAGGAGAATAAAATGTTTGTTGAGGAATACGCGCGAACGACCTTCTCTGCTTTTCGATCATCAACCTAATTTTAATATCCGAGACATATGTGACACCTTTTATTTTAGCTCATCAACCTAATTTTAATTTGTGTACTTTTTATGCACTACGTGTACTATTTGGGGGATAATGTGTAGGCACTAGGGTACAACATTTTCCCAGTGGTTTACTCCTACACTCCACTAAAATAGTAATGTTTCAATGATCGATACAGTAAAAATAGAGTAATTAATACTCTGATGATAGTACATATAAATTGTCATTTATGTTTAAGTTTTGTTTGTACATTTATTTTTGTATTCAAATATCTTGACTTGTTCTGTACATAAAGGATCAATAAAAATTATTGTTTTCAATTTGTGATCTTGTATTTTTTGTATATACAGGGTGTCCCGAAATTAGACGGTCATATTTTAACAGCGTAATCTACATACTAAAATAGGAGTAAAAGTTCATATAAACATATGTCCAAAAACATTTCTTTTCCGAGATACAGGGTGTTAAAAGTGAAGTCCTGATGACACACGTTTGTAAATATTTTCTAAATGTTTAAAGATAACTAAGTAAAATTTGGTACAAATGCTTACCTTTTTACGCTCTATTTAATGGAGTAAACCCCAGTTTTTGTTCATCTTCATAGGTGGGTAAATTAGGGGGGGGCTTAGGGTAAAATTGCTCTAAGTTTTCTTTGTTGGCAGTTTTTAACATTTTTGACTATAAAATTTGGAAAACCGATGTTTTCTTTATAATAAAGCTACTTTTGTTGAATCCCACTAGGACGCACCATTTTAAAGACAAAAGCATTTGAAAATTTCATGATAAGTTGATGTTATCTTATTCAAAAGTGTAAACAATAATTAGTAGGCATGTGGAATCAGAAATTTTATTTTTTTTTACCTTTGGATAACCGGTTACTAGAGATATTTTAGAAAATATTTACAGAAGTATGCCATCAGGACTTCACTTGTAACACCCTGTATCTCGAAAACAAAACATTTTCGGACCTATCTTTATATGAACTTTTACTCCTATTTTAGGATGTAGATTACGCTGTTAAAATATGACCGTCTAATTTCGGGACACCCTGTGTATGTAGGTAGGTATTTCAGTGGGAATTTAATAGATATATGATTGATTGTTTTTAAATATGTGTGTTATTAGAAATAATCTGAAAAATATTGTGCCATCACCGCCCACAATTGCTTGTATTGTAATGTGGTCGTTGAAAGCAAATATACCTATGTATTGTTGTTACGTGAATTCCATTTATAAAGATTTTTCTTATCGTGTCCTATTTATTTTGAAATAGGTACCTAAAACGTTTTATATTAAAAAAAACGTTTATATATTACATGATATTCACTATTGCTATTCTTATTTTACATGAAATATAAGCCAAAGCAGTTTATAATCTTGTTCATTTTTAAATTCGCGCATTCGATGTTGCGGCAACTACGTCATTTCCCCGAATACTTCCGATGATACACGATGCAAGAAGTATCCTTGGTAAGATGCGGATATTGTTGAAGACTCGTTAGTACCCATGATACTACAAAATGAAGGTATGATATTACGCTATTACGCAGATTGATGCTATACGTCACGGTGATGTAATGTAGTGGAAGACGTGGCTTTTACGAATTTAACGTATTAGCTGATTAAAACAGCGCACGAAAATAAATTTTAATCTGCTCATGGCCAATTAGATAATCATATTCCACACCGCAATACGTCATGCGCGAACTCGACGAGATTTCATCGGCTAAGTATCATACCTCTGTTTTTTTATATCATGGTTAGTACCCATCTACCCTACCCATTACCCATTAGTCACATTATGGAAGTTAGAAGCGTAACTACTAACACTAACCCTATTTTTTAGCTCGCATACACAGCACTGAAAAGTCAAATAATACTAATTTAGTAAGGAGTAGTAGGGAGGACAAGGTCAAAAGGACAAACATCTTACAAATTGCAGTACAGCGTGAACATCAGCCATAGCCCTTTGGAACTAACAAGAAGGCCAATGAAGATATCTTAATTAAATAATGAATTTGAAGATGTGAAATAGTAGATGTAAATAGTGTAATATACACTGAGGAAAACGCTTCAGTAAGAAAGTGTTACTATGTACTAAAAAGTTTACTATGGCTGTAAAACTTTTTACTGCTACTGTTAGATTGTCTAACAACAACTGTTAGATGTGTTACTAGGACTGTAAACTAAGTTTTACAGTCCAAATTCTTACCGTGGCAGTAATATTTTTTTACTACTCCAGTTAGAAATAGAATTACTATTATTCGTATTACCACCATAGTAAACCTTTCTTACTGAATCAATAATTTGTATTACTACCGCAGTTAGACCTTGACTAGTACCTAACATTTTTATAGCTACCACCGTAAAACTAGCATACTGAATCTGCAAAATAGTAATATTTTTCTAACAACCACGGTAAGACAGGTTAACAACAAATGTACCGAACCGTTACGATTAATGACGAAGAGCTTCGATCATATCCTTTTGCGCAGGCGTTGACTTGAGTCGACGATAATCACAGAAGCAGTCAACACGTTCAATCGTCGCATCGTAAGCTTAGGTCATAGCATACATGAAGAAGTGCGAAGTGCTGCGTAATTTCTATCTGGGGGTATAAATGGTATAATATTGAATATGGAATATTGTGCATTGTTAACGGAGTGGGGGTTTTTGGACCTAGTTCATAGTTTCGTTGGTAAGTAATTCGAAATAATATACTTATCTAAATATAGTACCTGTATCCATTTTTATTTATACATTAGTAAAAAAGGCGGGAAATGCATAATGCATGAATGCTTTTATTTCGAATTGAGGATGAGCTATACGGTCTAGAAATGTTTTAACTGCACCGGAGCATATTCGCAGTATCAAAAATGTAATATTTCCAAGAGAAAGTTTTTAGATTAAAATTTATTAAAAATGTTTGGTTAAGATTCACAGAGCAATAAATTTGTTAGATTTAAAAGAAAGCTGTGTTCAATGAGACATAGCGATAGCGGTACCAATCGTATCGATCCATATCATTTTCGAGCGTTTCATTTATACTCTAGTCTCTAACTTTCTGCTGCGATCGCGAAATTTGAGCGGGAAAGCTCATAAAAACAACCTAAAACTCCTAAAACCTATTGCTATTTGAGATTACTTAAAAAATATATCTTGAACAACCGGGTTATGCTTTATACATATAGTGATAAAAATCATAAAAAAAACCTTAAATATAAAAATATTGTAGATTGTTGATCAAAACACTTAAGTGACAATAAACAAGTTCACTTTCAGTTGCAAATACTACGTTTCATTAAACTTGAATTGTCGTTCCACACAAATTTAATTTTTATTTTTAGATGAGGGCATTGATGATAATTCCTTTCAATTATTAGATGAAGAAAGCATAAGGCATCTTATTTTAAGAAAAAATTCGAGGAATTTTGTATGACCAAAGAAAATACCATGGTAAAATTGATATTGTTTTATTATCCAAATTTGACATTTATATCTCGAATGGTTTTCGAGTAAACTTCCGTTCCTGCAGCTTTGGATTAAAAATAAATGTAAATGTTTTTTTTGTACCTTATAAAAATTATAAAAACATTTTAGCTCTGCTGTGCTATGCTGATTTCAAAATAAACAATTTTTCTTTTTTTTTTTATTTTGTCAATACTTTTATGAAAAATTGACCGAAGATTTTCCAGAGGAAAAAATTAAGCAAATCGATTTATTTTAGCTGAAATTAATTTATTTTGTGTAAATATTTTTCTTTGAAGCGAAAGATAAAAGAGTTTATTTTTCGAGTTCATGAGAAAAATATTTACCTTTGTTAAACCTATTTCAGCCTTTAATATAAATTATATTTTGGTAAAACATTTTTACCATGATAGTAAGACGTTATTACTGTAACACTAAACCCGTTTTACTGTAGTAGTAACCTATTATTACTGTAACTGTACAACAATTTTACTATAGTGGCAAAATATTATACCTGTAGCAGTGAAACAGTTTTACTAAATTGGTAAGACATTATTACTGTAACAGTAATACCGTTTTACTGTAGTAGTAAGATAATATTACTGTTACAGTACAGCAGTTTTACTAGAGTGGTTAGATATTATTACTCTAACAGTGAAACCGTTTTACTAGAGTGGTAAGAAATTATTACTGTAGCACTAGAGCAGATTTACCAAAGCAGTAAGACAGTATTACTGCAGCATTACAACTAGATGTTACGTATGGTAATCCTAGATATTGGTGGTAGTTATACAATTTTACTGTAGCCGTAAGAAAAAATTACTACCTCTGTAATAATATTTGACCAGAGCTGTAACATAGTTTTACTTCCGCAGTCGAATAAATTACTGTCACGGTAAAATCTTCTAGCTGAGGCATATTTAATTAACTTTTTCTTACTGCCACGGTAAGAATTTTTTTTCGGTGTAAAGAGTATTATTATACTGGCAGACTGGCTCTTACTTTCTCCGTAGTTCATATATTATGTGTGTCTTGACAAGCCTGGATATTAATCAGAGGTTCTTTTATAAATATGTACTTAAATAGGTTCTGAGGGAGCTACTGCCACCTACTAATACACCTTGGGGATAAAGAGGTTATGGATATTACTATCCTGCCCAATCCTACCCCTCCTACCCAATCATCAAAATGGTGCGCTTAAACAGTACCGCAAAAACTTTCTTAATAAATCAAATTTTTGTTAATTGCTCTTTAAAATAAGAATTAAGTTAGGATAAAGACAAATTTTAATGAAAAAGAAAAAACAAAATCTACTTACTGAGGTTCGCAGTATCCACATTTTCCTTAGTGTTAATTGTAGATTCTCCTTCCATTTCTAATAATTCTCCCTCTAATACGGTACAACATCCTGCACTAGGTTTACCATGGACACAATATACTATGCCCCTGGAACTTGATACACTGTTATCCATATTGCGTCCAATAGATCCATAGTTATTATTATCTATTTGTCTAAAATTCAGACTTGTATCAGTGTTGAATAAAAAAAATGTAGATTAAATAATCACTTTATTTAAATTAGTATCTCATTTTCTCTTACATGGAATGGGTCATTTTTAAAATACGAAAACAAATGAGAGTACTTATTCACTAATTTATGTATAAGAGTAGGTAAGCGAGTTGAGTTGAATTGCCTCTGTGGTCAAGTTAATTTAGTTGAAAACTACACATAGTCTAAGATCCGAAGTAAGGTCGACCTTCACCCATCTGTTTAATGGATGAAAGTTTCTTTTTATTACATAAAATATATTTATAAATATACCGCAAATGGGTTGCCTAAGAAAATACGGACCACATACTATTTTTTTTTCTTAAAGTAAAAAAAACGACACCCTGTAAAGTATTCCCCAGATGCTTCAACTATGCCCAAACTTTAATCAGCTCACCGCAAGATGGATTAAAGCTTAAGTTAAAAATTTGGTGTTTTTCTCTTCATCCGTTTCTGAGTTGTCTTCAAAATTCGAAATTTGCACTTTTTCTCAAATATCTCGAATTAGGTTCATTTTAGGAAAATCATGTATAAGAACAAAATAATAGATAATGACATCATAAACAACTTTTATCATGATTTTTATACTTTCTTTATCTATACACAGAAAGGATAGTAAAAAATGACCGTGACCATATTTTCTTAGGCAACCCATTTGCGGTATATTTAAAAATATATTTTATTTAATAAAAAATAAGTTTTATCCATTAAACAGATGGGTGAAGGTCGACCCTACTTACGGATCCTGGACTAACATGAAGCCGAAGTGTATTAAAACCGCTTTAGCAATAATTTTTTTACAGAAGAAGGCATGAAATTATTAAAAAGATAACCGAGCTCACGAGGATTCTCATAGAAGCAAAAGAAATTACCAAAAACTGGAAATAACATACTCATCTATAGAAGGCAAGCACTACTCGCCCTGGACATACCACGAATTTACTCAGGGATAGTACTAGAATGTGACGAAGCTTTGGCCAAAGTATCCATCAACAATTTAGTTATATTAAAATAGATCAAAGATCACGCCAAACGTTTTGCTAACTCACTAGCCAAGAAGGCAGCCAACCAAATACTTTTTGGACTTGGCCCTTCCATTGGACTGACAACATCGGTAGTGACAAACCTAATTAAACAACATTCCCTTGTGAAATTCAAGGAAAGGTGGTATGAAACAAGAAGCTGCAGACTTGCCATGGAGATTTTTAGTTACCCTGGCAATACCATATAGCAAACAAATACTTGACTATGACTAGACAGCGCAAGGGCAACTACATCTGCAGCGCAAGCGGTAGAAGGTGGCTTGTCATACAAAGAGACACTAGCGCCCATGAAAATTTCAACCATGGCAAGGTGGGACATTTAAGAGCGCATCTTAAAGTGGGACCTTCGAGCGAAATCTTTCGAACCAACGAAGTTGTGGCTTGGATACCCAAAGCCATGCAGAACATGGAAACAACAAAAGTACTCACGTTCCTCAAAACCCAAAACCAAAGACTCCAGATGAAACAGTGGCAAGTTATTCATAGGCAAATGGAAGACAACGGTCAAATCATTGTACAATTGCAAACAATCAGAACTAAAATTTGTAACAACTAGTGATGGCAAAAGTGGTGGTTAAGCGTGGTTGCTGAGAAAGATATATGGACGTTTGGATAATAAATATTTTAAGAGACCAAAAAAATAATGGGATGTATGTTTATTGATAAGATAATAGGAACTTATCAGAACTAAATAGGTGCATATATGTTTGTAATGTTTTTTTTAAACTTATTTCTTGCTTGGGATCTGTATTTATAAGTAGGAGAGGTTGTCTCCCCTCACATTAATGAGGCCTCAACATACTCATTGTGCATCCTCCAGGTATATATAGGAGCTGTCTCTCAGCTCGCCGATAGCTGTCTAGAGACTATAATAATAATAATGTTTATTCATAACAAAATATATACAATAAGTAAAATACATACAATCAATCCAATTAGATGAATAAACCTAAAAATGGCCACTGAAGTATTATAAATACTTGTTTGTGGTACAAAATTATGATTATTAAAGAACATATTTAAATACATATATCAGAAACAAATTAAATAAAACTTTCTACCTCTCAGATCGTCCCAGGGGCTGCTTGCGATAAAATTGCACAATAAATATTGCTTTCTTAGTGAAATTTAAGAATAAAATGTAAAAATTTTTAAATGATAAATTATATTTAATTTGGAGTCCAGGCCATGGCCGTTGCTTCGAAACCACTCGGAATCCACTTTTGTAACAACTAGTTGTTACATATTTTACTATTTTTCTCAAAGTGGTAACATAGCATCTGGTCTTGGTCTAAGCAACTTGCTCAGTAGCAACGGTGGCAGTGTATTAAAAATGAGAGAAACTAATATTGAAAAATGATGCATATATTTTTAGTTTATTTTGTTAGTGTTTGTACAATTAATCAATTCTCATTTAAATTTGGTCGCTTAGTAAATGTTTCCTGGTTAGTGAATTAGAAGTACCATCAACCAAGATAGCCCAATCTGGATATTTTCTTTTTTTGTTATTTAAAGATTCTGACTCATAAAATTCGAACAAAATCTTTGTACGACTTATACAGAGTGTTAGTATATTCGATCGACAAAACTGTACCACATAGAGATCTCGTTAATTGGTGAATTTTGATATAGGAACATGAACTCTTACAGAGCTTATTTACCGAGATTCAGTCATTTACTGTAAAACCAGCATTTCAAATTTGGGAGATTTATGGCAAATTTTGATTTAAAAACTTTTAACTAAGCTATAGCAAAATTCATCAATCAACAAAAGCTCTCTGGGGTAGAGCATTGTCGGTCAAATATACTAACACCCTGTGTATAGTCAACATACTACCAGCGACATATCTTTATTACACTCTTCACACAGTAGTCTGTGAAGAGTATTCTAGGTTTACTTGCAAAGAACCAACATTTTTAATATTCGTCCAAATTTAAAAATTTTTGTACCAAAATAAACAACTTTTAAAACAGAAAACAGTATCTATAAACTTGAAAGTTCTAGGAAAAATCAAGATCTGCAATGGGACGAAGCCTATTGATTTAAAAAATAATCTGAATAAAAATGGAGGGGTTAAAACTTAAAAAAAATCAAAAATCAAAAACGAAAAGCAATATAAACATAATTTTTTAGTAAAAATCAAGCTCTATAAGGGTTATAGAGGATTAAAATATTAAAATAAAATTCTACCTCAGAAACAAAAAACGATAACAACTTGAATTCTTCCGGAAAAATAAAACTTTTATAGGAAGGATGAAGCCTAAATTCTGACTAAAATTGGAGGGTTAAAAGGCCGTTCATTTAACTGTGAAAAGTATCATGTAGTTAATTTTTGTAATAAACTTTAATGGTGGATATTAAATGAATATTTAATTTTTAAAACGACGGTATTCCATATGTAGGTATTTAAGTAACGGTCCAAATTCCAAAATTATAAAAGTGTCACATAAAATTACAGATTTGAGAGGAGCAATCAATCGGCTAATAATAAAATTATTAATAAAAAATAATAATAAAAATAAATAAACAAAGTGTATCCTTTAAATTACAGACTTTCCCGTATTTTTATGTAAATTGATTAAAATATCACAAAAACTTTGTTCTACCAAAAACTGAGATAAAATTGAATTTAATAGATACTTACATTAAAGAGCTATTTTCTGGACCATTCTGCATGGTAGGTAGGCTGTTCGCAAAAACTTCAACACTGAAACTTTTAGTATTCAAATTCAATAACAACGTCCATAAGCCTACGTTAATTTTATTTATCTTCGATTTTAATGTTCGATATCAAATCTTTCCATTTCGCGATAAGTCGATACAATAGGTACATTCATTACAATAATATTGTAGGTATCTAAGATACTAACTTATCCTAACTAGCAAGTACTGACCAGAATTTGTTCATTTGGAATCGAAGAACAGCGATAAGAGTACGTAAAAGCTATTAATGTGTAAATGAATGAATAATAATCGTAATTATTTAAATAGAAATAAATGTTGTGGAACTGCTTAAAATATACAGAGCCGGTTTTGAAGATGACGCCGCCATAAAAGAAAATGTAATGGGTACACTGAAATAAAAAGAAATATAAATACGGTTTTATCATTTTAACAACAATTTCACAAATTGGATCTTTTAACATTTAACATTTAACTACTGCTGTTGCTGTAAAAACAAGATAAATAATATTAATAATACAATTATTATCTTCTTAGTCAAGGGCGTACTTGAGAAGGGGCTATGGTTGCCAGATACGAAATGATTATTTTCGGAACATTTTTTAGGCAGCGCGATAGTTGCAAAATAGTGGTTTGTGAATTTTAGTCAAATTCTTAATTAATTATATCTTTCATAGATCCTAAACATTACACATTTAGGGATGAACATAAAAAGACTATATGTCAAAGGAATAATGAAACTCTAATTCATTACCACATGAATGAATTTATTTATCAAAGATAGCGACTAGTTTCGGCTTAAAGCCATAATCATCAGGCAGAAATATAAATAATGAAAAACATTAAACGATGAGAATCAGATGCTTGAAATATACGGTACTCCATCCAGTGTGCTAGGAAAATGTTTAAAATTAAAGTTAAAATTATATAGAAAAACTTTTTAAATTTGTAATTAAAATAGAATTTTGGTGTGCGTATTGTATACAACACTATGCACAAGTGGAAGGAATTTGATTGATAAATGTATTGTTTGCTTTCCGAAAGCTTGGTGAGAAGATTAATTAAATAACTAATAAATAATATAATAATATAATAATATAATAATATAATAATATAATAATATAATAATATAATAATATAATAATATAATAATATAATAATATAATAATATAATAATATAATAATATAATAATATAATAATTTAATAATATAATAATATAATAATATAATAATATAATAATATAATAATATAATAATATAATAATATAATAATATAATAATATAATAATATAATAATATAATAATATAATAATATAATAATATAATAATATAATAATATAATAATATAATAATATAATAATATAATAATATAATAATATAATAATATAATAATATAATAATATAATAATATAATAATATAATAATATAATAATATAATAATATAATAATATAATAATATAATAATATAATAATATAATAATATAATAATATAATAATATAATAATATAATAATATAATAATAAGAACCATCAATTTATAAAGATTACCAGAAGATAAGAAAGCAATACCTTGTAAGTGAGTTTATAAAATCAAGACAAATCTTGACGTGCAAAAGTATAAAGCCATATTAGTAATTAAAGGCTACTCACAAAGGAAAGACGAAGACTGACCAAACGTTTAGCCCAGTCGCAAAATCTAGCACTGTCAGAACTCTATTAAGTATATCAAAAAGCATGAATATATCTCTGATGCAGTTCGACGTATCTACAGCGTTTCTCTATGGAAATTTGCAAGAAGAAGTCTATATGAAACAATTAAAAGGTTACGTCGACCAAGCAGATCAAGTATGTCGTTATAAAAGCAGTCTCTATGGTCTCAAACAAGCACTTAGATGCTGGAATGCGAGATTTGTAGATTTTCTAATAGAAGAGGATTTTAAAATGAGTGTCTATTTACAAAAATCTGATGTGTCCAACACATGACTTTCCTATCTAGTTATTATAGGCTTTTTCCGGTTATTTTGTACAACCTATTGAAACACCTTTATAAATGTTTAGAGGATAAACTAAATAAATACATTTTCCACATACATCTACCTCGAAACATTTTTCTATAGATATTCATTGAAAACGAAAATACTGAAAAATTTAAATTTCCTACAATTTTTTCATTACGGTTCATTTTAGAAAAATCATGTATAAACAAAAAATATAGAAATCGATATCGCAAACAACTTTTAGTTCAACAATTTTCATAAAAATCAGACTTTTGCACGTTTTGTCAAATTTCTCGAATACGGACCATTTCAGGAAATTTGACATAAAAAAAAATTATTAATAATATTAGAAGTAACTTTTATTTGAACAATTTTCTTCTCCAAACATAAATAACAGATATATTCCATAAAATATAAAAACGACCTCCCATAAAGTACCCCCCTGATGTTCCGACTTTGTCCAAAATCTAATCATTTCACGTCAAGCCCAAATAAAACTTAAGTTTAAAATTTAATGTTTTTTTCTTTATCCGTTTTTGAGTTTTCTTCAAATTTCAAAATTTAAAATATTCTCAAATTTCTCGAATACGGTCCATTTTAGAGAAATTATGTATAGGATAAAAATTATAGAGAATTATATTACAAACAATTTTTATTTGAACAATTTTTATAAAAAAATATTTTTTTACATTTTATCAAATTTCTCGAATACGGACCATTTTAGGAAAATTTTGTATATAACAAAAATTATAGATAATAATACAGGCAATAACTTTTATTTAAAGAATTTTCTTCCCCAAACGTAAATAACATATATTCCATAAAATATAAAAATGACCACCTATAAAGTACACCCCCAGATGTTCCGACTCTGCTCAAAATCTAATCAGTTCATTGGACGCTGGAACAAAGCTTAAGTTTAAAATTTGGTGTATCGGTTCGTGAGTTATGCGACACACACACACACGCACGCACGCACGCACGCACGCACGCACGCACGCACGCACGCACGCACGCACGCACGCACGCACGCACGCACGCACGCACGCACGCACGCACGCACGCACGCACGCACGCACGCACGCACGCACGCACGCACGCACGCACGCACGCACGCACGCACGCACGCACGCACGCACGCACGCACGCACGCACGCACGCACGCACGCACGCACGCACGCACGCACGCACGCACGCACGCACGCACGCACGCACGCACGCACGCACGCACGCACGCACGCACGCACGCACGCACGCACGCACGCACGCACGCACGCACGCACGCACGCACGCACGCACGCACGCACGCACGCACGCACGCACCACGCACGCACGCACGCACGCACGCACGCACGCACGCACCCACCCACCCACACACACACACACACACATACACACATACACACACACACACACACACACACACACACACACACACACACACACACACACACACACACACACACACACACACACACACACACACACACACACACACACACACACACACACACACACACACACACACACACACACACACACACACACACACACACACACACACACACACACGCACGCACCCACGCACACACACACACACACACACACACACACACACACACACACACACACACACACACACAGAGACATAAAAGACAAATACTCTAAAAGCGCAAAAGATCAGAACCAAATAAAATGAATAACCATAATAACCTAAAAATCACACTAAAATTGCAAAAACTATTATTGAAAAATCATGAGATTACATCAATAATGCATATGCGTCGGAGTATCGCAAATGTCAAAAGTACAGTGTTTCCATGAAAATTTAGCTATATTTTTAGCAGTATTATAGGACCATTTCTACCACGCGCATCCAACGATATTGGCGTTCCACAGTTCACTGTATTTTCCTCACACCTCTAGTATAAATGATTTGACATAACGAAAGTAACAATATTTATAATTAATGTAGAGTAATAAGTGATTCGTGAATTCTAAATAAAAAAATTATTATATAAAAGTGTAAAAGGAAATGTAATTTATTTCCCTATTTTCTTCTGTAATATCTTCAATTATTATGTTTAATTTCTATAAATAAACCAACTGGTTAGGTGAAACATTGTGATATAAGATTTTATTTATGTGTCCTATGCGTACACTTTAATATACAAAACACCTGGAACATTCTTTAAATAATTGTGGTCGTAGAAATAATTGTGTACATAACTCGTTTGAAAGTGTATTTTATGCACTTGCCAAATATATTATCCATACAGATTAATCAGACTATTTTTTTACTTAACTTCAGTACATCTCTTACTACTAAAACTATTTTTATCAATGGAAAAAAAGGGCCGTGTTCTCGTATGTTTTGACGCATTTTCGGCCTCAGCCCATCGGATCCCCTCTATAAATATATATGAATTTTGCTTAGAATTATTAATCCTACAATTCTCTATTCGTGCTTGCTGACTGGGAAAATAAATACCGAAAATCGTCACTGGACTATACAATAGATGATGATGAGAACTTCACAAGAAATACACTTCTATGAATGGCTAGTTGGGGATGTGTGGAAAACGCTACAAGATACTTTTTAAAATCACCAGAGTGTACGAATGAAGCGCGAGGATCGTTTTAGCAGGTTTATAAAAATCTGAAAGTTTAAACCAACAAATGTTTAAACATTTAAAGCCTATTTAATCCACTGCCTCTGTACAATAGGTGTTATATTTTTATCAGCTTATCTAATAACTATAAAACATATCAAAATAAAATTCTAAGCACACCACTGATCATACCTATTCTAAATATTAAATTTAAATATTTCATAATTTTTATATTAAATATTGACAAATGCTTGTAAATACTTTTATAGTAAATGAACTCGACTGATTATTAGATCTAAAACAAACCTTAATACTGAAAATTGTGCTGGCCTAAGCAGACATCAGTTTATTATTTTTCTTTTATTACCATAATAAATACATTTTAAATTCAATAAACCAGTTTTAAAAAGACGTTACGTTATCTTTAACATAAATTGTAAATTATATGTTAATTATCTATAATTATAATGGTTTTAATATTGGAAATATTCACAAAAAAATTAATTTAAAGTCAAGGGCGGCTCCAGGGATGGGCATAGGAGCCATGCCCGGGGGGGGGCAAGATTAAAATGTTTATAATCCATTAGCCTTTTATTAAAAAATATGAAACGCCCCTTCCCGAAAATTCGGCCTGGTGCCGCCCTTGTGTAAAGTATTCTCAACAAATAAATGCTATTCAATATCTCCGTATTTTCATATTCTCATTGGTTGGTTTTTCTATGGTTAAAAATTAAAATACAAAACCCGGTTCTGGTTTAGACAACAAAAAGAAAGAGATAAGAAATTCAGAAGTTAGCAGAATTTTCATACCAACAAAGAATAATCAATTATCAGTTTCTTATTAAATAAATAAAAATAAAAGATCAAAGTTTATAAACAGTTATTTCACCATAGTAATGGAAAGATCTATTTGACAAAAATATGTGACGTAGACAACTTTACAACTTATTAATACATTTTTTTAAACATTTTAATGAGAAAACGGTATTTTAAATTAGGTCCAGTTACGATCAGCTTCTGCACTTGGTTGTTATTTACAATATAAAAATTATATGAAAAAGATAAAAAGAAACATGATGTTTTACCACGGCGTATCGTTAGGAGGTGGTAGGGACGCTATCAGCTATATAAAGAAAGGGTAATGATGTGGAATCAGAACCTTAAAAAAAAACTTTTTGAAATCAGCAATCGTTTAAGATATCGAATGCCTTACTTAAATCTAGTAGAGCAAGAATACCTACTGTTTAATTATCTATATTCGCTAGAGCAGTTGTTCTTTTTGAAAGCCGGATTGGTGTAATGGAATCATTTTGTTTTCAAACATCAATTTGTACTTAGTATGTTAAACAATGAGGGAATAATTATAATTTTTGTTTATTACCTTTTTAGCGACTAAATTGTATTTGCATAATAAGGATAATACCTTAGATAATATAATAGCAGATAGGCCACCACTGCATAAAGTTATACAATATTAATGTCGCTATCATATAATCAGTACCTCTCTTTCTAATGAAGGCTTTCTCACTCGTTTTTGAATTCTCAGCAGTAGCGTACCGTAGGTCATTTTAAATGCGAAAATGTTGACCAAGTAGAATATAAAATAAAATGTTTTAATGAAGTGAAAACAAAATATGACTTTTTTGTTATGAATATAATATTAATAACAATTACTTTTAACATCACAACACGAACAAATTTAAATTAAACACTGGAATAATTGTCTGAGAAAAGCTTTGTAAAACTGACAAATACAGACAAAGAGATAGAGATATTAATCTATTTCTCTCTAATTAGAATTTTCGACCATATTATCATGGCGACACAAACATTGTTTACTGTCCTCTCTTTACTACTTACTTACTCTGAGGATAATACTTATTGATTCTTTGGAAGTATTATATGTTCCATTTCCTAGTAAAGAGGACGAATTTAACTTTAGACGGATATTAACACAATATTATAGCGTAGGTGGCTCAGTGGTTAGAGTCAGGACTTTGAGATCCAAGGGTTCCAAGTTCGAATCCCGCCGATGACAGGATTTTTATTTTGTAAATATAAATAAGAAACATTTTGACATTAATCAAACAAATATACAAGATAAATAAAATATCACTACACCTATAACGACCCTTCTAATTCTATATTTTTAAAGAAGTGCAGGATTTGGAGTGACTTCAAGTTGGATAGATAGACCTCTTCTATTTGGTATGCCCTTGGGTTCTGAAGTGCTACACATTCAGTCAGAATGCGAATGGAGGTTTCGTCCTCCTCACAGAATCAGCACTCACTATCTTCTACTATTCTCAGTTTACTAAGGACCGATTCCACCGTTGTGTTAAACGAAGTTTAAAATGACATTTTTACATTAACAATGTCATTTTAATCTCCGTTTAACACAACGGTGGAATCGGCCCTAAGGTGTCCTTTGAGTCGGTAATGCCCGGTAAGGATCCCAATTACAATGCGTATAGTCTGTTCTTGCTCAGGCTGAAACATGCTTCCGATCTTCTCTCCCAGAAGTATCTTAGCCTGTCTTAATTCCAATAGATTATTCTAATTATCGGTTCTTCTGCTGCCCAATTATTTTTTAATCTCTCCTAATATTTTGTGTTATTGCATACCGCAGGTCGGCTCGGGGTGTTATTCTTTAACTTTAAGCCGAAAACGCTTAAGCAACGAAAGCGCTAAGTTGGATCACCAAAACGCATAGACATGAAGAAAAACGACAAGCATGCGATTATAGTATTCTCTAGACGATTTTGCTATTTGTAATGCTGATTGCTGATTGGTCTGAATAACTAAGGTTAGGATTTGAATGTCATTTTGACAATAGCCCCAGTGTACATCTTTCAGAGGCTGAATGATGAGCAGAAGCTGGAGCTGCTTTTCAGCTTGCCTAATGTGGGGTGTCTCAGAACTACGTATTTTTTTTTTATTTCAAGCCAGTCTACCATCAAAATGTAACCATCTCCAAATGATAAAATTACACGTACTTCACTTGACGTCCCGGATTCCGACTTGAAGGTCTTGAAGGTTAACTTGTTAAAAGCCTGATCTACACCTCACATACAAATTGTATTTATTATTTTTATAGCAACCGTATTCGCTAAGTGCGAAGTCATGGTATGGGAAGCAAAATCGATACTAGCGCTAGCTGCGGATAATTCGTGCATTTTAGAGCGATATTTTGTAATTTTGGCATATCTAATACACGTATATATTTTACTTTTTCTCAAAAAAGTAGGTAAAAACAATACAATAAGCAACCGGAGTTACTGTGTTGAAAATTGTACAAATACCTACTAGCAAAAAAAAAACAGTGAAAATTATAAAAATTTTCAGTAACAAAGTGGAAATTAAATCAAAGAAATAAATGGATAGGTGTACAATAAGAAGAAAATTACCTTTATTTTTGTTATAATAACAGTAATACTGGAAATAGTAGACATCAGAAACTTGTAAGGTTTTAAATAAACAATAAATGATCATTTTACGATGTTCTTCAACATCTCTATATTCTTAAATATTTATTCAGCAAGGACTAGATTTCAAGATTTCTGCCTTTGATTATTTATGTGGCTGTAATTCAATTTTGTGACTTACTGATGGGAAACCAGTTTTAATCATTCATTCTATGTTTTCTTTCGAACAAAAATGAAAATATAAATAACGATCCTTCTTTTATACATTTTAACTTCAGTTAATTCTTCAAAGACAACTTATTAGACTTAGGCAACTTCTCATACATTTTTCCGTAAATACTGTTGCCTGCCTATATTTTATTATTGATTTTTATTGATTATACTTAATTTTTTAATTTAAGCGATAAAAATATAATAATAATAAATTTTAATGTTTTACCTATTTTACCAATCCATATACTTTTATTAAAACTAACATATACACTTTTTAATTACGAATTCTATTAAAAATTGTATTTGTCAGTATACGCAGAAATAGTCTATTAGTACTATGGAGGGTAGAAAAAAGGAGGACAATCTTATATGGATCTTTATATTAAAAAGTAGCCACCAAAATGTATACAATTAAGATGGCGCTCGTGTAGCCAGGGGACAAAATCCAATGCTATATAGTCATATAGATTGCTCATTCATAAGAATAATTTATTGTTTATATTATTATTTTTCAATAAAATTTGACTATTGTCGTGTATTGTCAAAATTTATCTACGATCACAGAACACTTAATCTTCTACGATCAGTCACTTTTCACGGTGTAGTTTTTACACATACTTTGATTTTCTTTTACTATACGGAGAATGGTCGCACTGCGCAGCTTTCTGAGTGCCTTTTAAAAGGAGATAGAAAACTCCGCCATTTTGATCCCTTATTACGTGTTGCCTACATCTTGGCGCAATATTTTTAATAGGTGCGTTTTAATCATCCGCTTCTGCTTCGGAATTGTCGGTTTTCTTGTTTTAATCTGACAGGTTAAAACGACTAAACCGACAATTCCGGAAGCAGAAGCGGATGATTAAAACGCACCTGATATTTTGCTTGCTGCTGTCAGTGTCAGTGAATATTATTTTTGAAGTCACAGTTTATTGCTAAAGAATCAGTTAGCTCACTTGGACCAGTTGAAAGTTCCAAAATAACATCCACTCCAGGGATACAAATTCAGGATACGCAGAAGACTGCTGTTTTATTATAGGCGGTTGTCATATATTGTATTATCCGAGTTGCACAGTGTATAAACTGAAACATTGAGATCAAAAGTGCCGACGCAGAGTGCGATCTGATTCTTTAGCTGTAAACTGTGTCACAGGGTTCAAAATGGACGCGCCCTATGTTGGGCGTGTCGGACCTCTCTCTTGCCTCGTATAGTAATCAAAGTATAGGTTCTTTCGTTCGCTATTGGTGAAGTGTACACCAGTGTAAATTACACCAGTTACACCACTTTATTTACCTTAGTTTACTTCCCTCCTTATTCCCTATATACATGTCGAGTGTAATTCACTCCTGCTAAACAGCTGGTGGAGAAAATATCTACCAGTGGACATCACATCACCGACAGGAAGGTTTAGTGGATTTTACACCGGGCCGAACGAAAGGTTTAGTGTACGTTGGTGTAGTTCATTCCTACACCAGTGGGACGAACGAAAGAACCTTATGTGAGTTTTTAGTTTTTTATGGTTGAGCAATATTTATTGCTATATACATCATTGGTGTCATTGTGTGATCTAAATTATCGACTGTCGACGTCCCCTGGGCACAGAAGCGCCATCAAATGCCGCGTTTGAGAATCCACATCGGATGCATTTTTTACATCTCGAGCGTTTTTTTATCCACATCGGACACATCTGTCCCATTACATTTACGTATACTGAATCACGTGATCAAAGATTTTTTACATCTCATTGCGTTTTCGATTCCACTGCCCTGCCTGCGGGGAGTGCACATAAAAGATGAGCGATATATCGATACCGGTTACTTTTTAGAGTAAAAAGTAACTGGTATCGACATATCTTCCACCTTTTGTATGCTCTCAGAGCAAGCCGAGCACTGGAATCAAAAACGCTATCAGATGCATCCGATGTGGATTCTCAAACGCGGCATTAATTGTATACATTTTGAGGGACACTTTTTGTATACAGAGATTGTTCTCCTTTCCTCTACCCTCCATAATTAGTACCTAAACGAATTCGCGCTGCTGTCACGCACGGAGCGAATAACAATTTTGACTTATTTTTAGGATTGGATTAAATTTTGTTTAAATAAATTTGGCAACGTTGTCTTCAATATCGTGTCTTGTAGTGTTATGTCATATGTCATATGTGTAAATTTCGTTCTGTCAATTGTCAGTGTCAATATTGTCAGTTCAGTAAGTTCAGTTTACAAAGGTGATGGGAAAAAGGGGATCCAAACAATAGAAAATTTCAATATTTTCCCAAATCATTAAGATGAATCATTATAGTGTGCAGTGAATACTGACGGCAGTTTATAAGAATTTAGTTTTAAAGAAACATGGTTGTGAAATGGCTTCCTCTGTATTCGCAATAAAAGACAGACATTAGTAATAAAAAATAAAATATCAAGCTTGCAAACTCCATGACATGGGAATTTGTTCTAGAAGATACTTTTTTCTATCAATATGCTTCCTGCAAATGGTAAGGCACTTAATTTACAAAATAGAGGTATTTTAATTTATTATAATTATTTTTATTTTAGATAACAGTAGTTGAGAGACAGGTGTTTGATTTCTTGGGATTTCTATGGATTCCAATTTTAGTCAATTTCTTTGAAATCATATTCATCATTTTTGGATTTTTTGGTGCTTATCAATACCGCCCAAAATACATAATAGCTGTAAGAAAAATGGATAATTCTAACCTACATTTCACTTATAATTTTATTTTCAGTATTTATTATGGCATATTTTTTGGATTGGTTGGAATGTATTTTTGATTTGCCTGTATCTTAACGTAGCTGGATTGGACCATGAGGTATTGTCTATAATTTTATTTAAAACAATAATTTGTTATCTTATGACATGATCTCATTGTTGATTTTGGTTGTTTATCTTTTTATCAAACCAAATAAAAACAAGGTTTTCCAAATTGCTACAGCTAACCAAAAATGTATTTTTATAACAAATTCTACATAGATATTAAACTAATAATTTTAATAAGCATTGTAGATACAGTTGCCAATCAAACAAATTGTTTAATATGTTGATGGTTATTTCTACAAGATCAGGGCACTTTTAAACAATATAATAAATCCATTTATTCGTGAATTTCTGTACAAATAAGATCATAAATGCATTTATAAAGCTAGCTATGCAGACCTTACATAAAATTATTCTCATTATTTTTGCATCTAAATTCATTTTAAAGGGAATGTAAATACTGCAAATGTATAAATATACCTGAAAACTACTAACAACATCAATGAGGTTATAGTAAATATTTTGATTTTTATTTATTTAAATTCTGACATGCACTGCTTATGCTTGTGAATTGAATTATCTCATTATTTTCATTCTTTGTACCTAAAAGTAGGAGAAAGTTTTGAGAAAAAATTCTCCAATTTTGGTGAATTCAATTTCAAGAATACAAATTTTTACAATATTTCTTGCTCCCTGATTTCAAAAATAGGCACCCTGGTAGTCTGTCTATCCAATATGATGTACCATCGGAGGTTCCACAAGATTCCCATTTGGGACCATTGTTCTTCAAGGTTATTGAAGATATTTTTGAATATAGTAATTTTCTACTTTTTGCTGATAACCTAAAGATATATATTCCCATTAATGGTGTCAGTGATTTTTTATCTTTTACAAAGTGATATTAATGCACTGCATGATTGGTCTGCAAAGAACTGTACTGCCGTGTTAATTCAAATGGCCGTAACTGCAATTTTCCTTGAAATAAAGATATGGCCCCTACGCCTGACAACAATGAATTTTTCTGTTCATCTCTATAATTTTCATGGATATATATTCTATAAAATCATCCGAGATTTAACGCTTAGAAATTTGGGCGTGATTTTTCTTGAAAAATCGATTTTTCTCACGTTCATGTATTAAGCAGATACGGCCATTTGAATTAACACTGCAGAGTATATCACTTAATATCAACAACTATTACACAATTACTTTTGGTAGAGGACATGACAAGCTTATATTTGATCACTCAATAGTGGATTCAATTCTTAAACGTGTCAATAAGATTTAGGGCTGCTCTTAGATCAGCCTCATACCGTTAATACAATAAATAAATCTCTCAAAATATTAGGTTTTTTCTTGAGAAACTCTAACAATCTCTCACTGAAATCCATTAAAACAGTTTATTCAGCTTATGTTAGGTCAATATTGGAATAGGGGTTGCCATTTTATGATACATATCAGGTTATTAGAGTGTGTTTAACATACATTTCTGCTATATTGTACTTTCATTTTAGGTTTAGTAATTGGCAACTATGATTGTAATGTTTTATTAAACTTGATGGATCTTGAATGTCCAGAATTTGGAAGGGGTGCATAAATTTATTATTTTTGCTAAATTAATTTCAGGATCTATTTATTGTTCCGAAATTTTAGAATCTATTCAATTTAGAGTACCAGTAAGATACACTCGTCAACATGATTTCTTCTTCATTTCATTTCACAGAACTAATTATGGTTTATTTAGTCCTCCAACAAGAATGCCAAGAAGTGTAAATTCATTACAAGAAAGATGCTCTCTTGATATGGTATTTTATAATAAAAATATTAATATAATAATAACTAGAATAAAGATATATAATGCTTAGCCATTCTATATTATACTCTTCACAGTTTAACAGACCCCCATTTTTAGAATCAATAGGCTTCATCCCCTTATAAAGCTTGATTTTTCCTGAAGATTTCAATTTGATATCGTTTTATGTTTCAGCCCCCTTATCTCCCCATTTTTAATCAGATTGTTTTTTCAGAATCAATAGGCATCATTCCAATATAGAGCTTGATTTTTTAATAAAAATTTCATGTTGAAATCGCTTTTCATTTTTGATTCAGGATTTTTTTATTTCAACCCCCCGTAAAGCCCCCACTTTTAATCAGATTTTTTTTTTAAATCACCGTATAGAGCTTGATTTTTGCTGAAAATTTCAAGTTGATATCTTTTTCAGTTTTTGAGTTATAATTTTTTTTTAATATTTCAACCTCCCATTTTAATTCCGATTTTTTTCAGAATCAATAGGCTTCATCTTCTTATAGAGCTTGATTTTTACTAAAAATTTCATGTTGATGTCTCTTTTCGTTTTTGATTTACGATTTTTTTTTTTTAATTTTTACCCCCTTTACTCTCAATTTTAATCGGATATTTTTGAAAATCAATAGGCTTTGTCCTCTTATAGAGCTTGTTTTTTGCTAATATCATTTTTTGTTTTTGAGTTAGGATTTTTTTTTTAATATTTCAAGCCCCCTTAACCCTCATTTTAATTAGATTTTTTAAAATCAATAGGCTTCATCCCTTTATAGAGCTTGATTTTTCCGGAAATTTTCAAGAAGATATTTTTCGGTTTTGACTTATTGTGTGGGCAGAAAACGTGAAATTGTACTTAATACTTGTCATTTGACTGACTTAAGTGTTGGTGTTAGTTTGTTTTTAAAATGAAAGTTGCATATTAATGTATTACCTTTTACATGGTTTTTGTATATTTTTTATTGTAATGGGTATTTCCTATATGTTGTTTAATAAATAATCTAAATTTTGTTTTTGGTAGAATAATAATGTAGCTTTAAAGTTCTAAACTTATCTTGCTTTTACTATGGAAGTATAATTACACTATAATATATATTCATTTTAGAAAAATAAAGTGCTCAAATTAGACTTAAACAGCGACAGTTGGTGGAAAAAGGAAGGGCCACGATGCAGAATTAAGGATGTAGATGCAATCCCTGTTGAATTCGAAGGATGTTTGATAAATTATGTACATGTTGAGATTGTGCAAGCCGGTATCCAATGTTTTTTTGCTGTAAGTTATCCAAATTAACCTTAAAATGTTCAACACAATGTGCAATGTGTTAAATTCAATATTTTTTAGGTGTTTAATAGTATTATAGGCATTTGCCTTAGCCGTACATTTTTGGAAGAAGATGATACATGTAAGTTATTCAGTTATTTTTCTACATGTAGATCAAAACTAACAAAATAAGTAAAAGTAGTATTAAATCTATTAAAAAAAATTGACACGGAAAAATAACAATTGCAATTTTGGTGTTCTTATCAATTTTAATGTGCTGGAATCAGTTTTTATTGTCTAAATACATTAAATAATTGGATATAGATATCGAACAGAGAACAAAGAGCCAAATGACAAAACGGAGAAACAATGCGAACAAGAATAATATTGTCAGTGGGACTTTTTTTAAATGCCATAGAATATAGCATTAGTAAAAATCTGATGTGTCCAACACATGACTTTCCTGTCTAGTTATTACAGGCTTTTTCGGTTTTGTACAACCTATTGTATCATCCCTGTAAATGTTTAGAGAATACATACATTTTCCATACACATCTTACTTGAAACATTTTTTATAAATTCATTGTCAACGAAAATACTGAAAAATTAAACTTTTACACTTTTCCTCAAATTTTTCCATTGTGGTCCATTTTAGAGAAATCATGTATAAAATAAAAATTATAAAGAATGATATTGCAAACAATTTTTATTTGAACAATTTTCTTAAAAATTGATTTTTTTTACTTTTGTCAAATTTCTCGAATACGGATCATTTTAGAAAAAATTCGTATAGAACAAAAATTATAGAGAATATTATTACAAGCAACTTTTATTTGAAGAATTCTTCTCCAAGCGTAAATAACAGCTATATTCCATAAAATAGAAAAACGACCCCGTATAAAGTACACCCCCAGATGCTCTGACTATGCACTACATCTAATTAGTTCACCGCAGGATGAATTAAAGCTTAAGTTTAGAATGGTGATTCCTATACCTTCCTTGTCTGTGTACAGATAGGAAAGTAAAAAAAAATATTAGCTACTTATTATTAGCTAATTAATTAATTTCTGGAAGTATTTCAGTACTGTTATTGGTATTTATTTATTTATTTTATTTATTTATTTATAATACAATACTCTATAGGTCATAAACCCAATTACAGAGCAGGAATTGACAGAATATATTTATTAATAAATCACAATTTTTTTATATGAATGTTACGCACCTAAAAAGAACTTGTATTTCGTAATAGGTAACAAATTAACTAAGATAAAAAGTGGGATTTTATATCTGACAAATTGCAACTAAATATATCAAGTTCATTGACAATAGAATTTGTTACTGTACACATAGTATGGAGTGGAGAATTTTCCAGAACATTTGTGCGAGATGTATTTATATAAAAAGTATTCGGGTGTCTGGAAAAAATTCTGGGAATGCAAATATTTAAACTTTTCTAATAAGGTTGGGCAGTCAATAACACTTTTAATAATTTTATAAGTTACTACTACACTATAATAGTCACGCCTTCTTTCGAGACTGAAAAAGTTATGCTTTTGTAGTAATTCAGAGTGAGGTGTACCTATTAGAGGATAAATGCCATCAGTTTTCAGGCTTAGCAGTTTTAAAAATCGTCTCTGAATTGGGTCTATTCGATCTATATGATACTGATAAAAGGGGCTCCACACAACTGAAGCATATTCTAATTTTGATCTTATAAAAGCATAAAATACAGTTTTTAAGGTAGAGGTTTTTTTGAAATCACTACTGCTACGTGAGATTAATCCGTACATGCGACAGGAGGAGGATACAACATTATCAATATGCTTATTAAATGATAGTGCAGTGTCAAACGTGACGCCAAGATCAGTAAATGTTTTCGGTCGCTCAAGGGCAACGTTTTCTATTGAATAATTAAAGATTAGGATATTCGTTTTTAAACTGTAGGACATGTACATTTATCCGGGTTTAGTGACAAGTTATTTTGATAACACCATTCAACAATCCGTGTTAAGTTTGCTGAAAGGTTCTTGCAATCACCTATCTTCTCTACGAGGCAGTATAGTTTTAGATCATCAGCATACAAAAGGAAATTTACATTTATAACATCTGCAATATCATTAATGAACATAATAAAAAGGAGGGGTCCTAGATTCGACCCTTGTGGAACACCGGAAGAAGCACTATATTCAGCAGACCTAAAACCATTAAGCTGGACATATTGCTGTCGATCCCATAGATAGGACTGAAATAGTGAAATTAAAGAAGGAGATAATCCAAAAGCTACAAGTTTGTTGAGCAGAATGCCATGATCAAGTCTGTTGATACCAGGTATGAGGATCTTTGCGAAACAACGAAAAATTCAAAGGTGTATCACAGAACAAGTTTACTTATGAGTAAGTAACGTGGTACTTTCTACGAAAATACAGAAATAGAAGTTTGTAATTGCAAAATAAATTTAAAAATCTTAAAAGTAGACATAAAAACAAAACTCGGCAAGATAAAACCTAACAACATTAAATTGTTAAAACTAAAATGTTTCACTTTGGGATTATTAATTCTCAAATTCAAAATCACTCTAGCCATCAAAACCATCTAGGGTGCATTAAGTGAAAGGTAGAACCAGTCGAAAGCTTCTAGCAATAAAGAAAACCATCAAACATGACCAGTCATGACTAATCAGCTGTTTGGCCAGGGTCAGTCAGAACGTTCGAGAAATTTTGTCTGACTTTGATAGTAAAAACTGTCTAGTGAATGACCAATCGCCAAGCAGCTGTTGTTGAACTTGCACACACAAAAAGTAATCTTCCAGTATTTAAAATCAGTGAGTTGAGTGTTTTAAGACTTAACATAATGTCAAATCTAAAAGATATTTATATTATTTTTTAATCAAAAATATGGATAAAGAAATATATTAGCATTAAAAACATACTTAATACACCAATATGGGAATAACAGTTTTTTGAACAGATCCGTATGACAATAACTGGTGCCTGGTGTTTGGTCTTGTACTTCTTTAGTGTACTGATCATGTATTTGAAAAATTTGAACTAGACAGTTTCAACTAAATTGTTAGGCTACTGGTGTGACCATACCAGTCAACTTGACAGTTTTGTTAAGGAAGTCCCCTATATCATCAATGATCTTATCAACACCCACAATTTTTTTATAAAATTCCTGTTCTGATGCAGATATAAGATATATTATAGCTTTAATGTCATTTAATTTTGAATCTTAAAAGGCTCATTTTATATTTTAGTACACAGAGCCAAACTACTATAAATCCTAGAAGGCACGTTTTAAACTAATATTAAAAAAATCCAAGAACTAATTTAAACTGATATATTTTTTAGGCTACAACATAGGTTTTTAGATGTTTAGTCTTGAAACACAACAAAAGGACGATTCTGAACTTGTTTTAACATTGCTAATATTTTGTTTTCCACCCAATATTTTTAAGATTTTTACAAAAAAACTGAAAATAACGAGCGCGTCTTGTAAGTGCATGTGGATCTTTGTACAAAAAATCAAATAATGACAAAGCGTGTTTAAGTAAATGGGACTATCATTAATACATGTTACTTTTTATCCTCATATTAAAAGGATATAATAGTAAGCAGCTCCGGGTTATTTTTAAAGATAGAAACTGATATTTCCATGTTTGGCATTTGGTTCCTTGATCTGTAACAGTACCCAATTAGAATTCCCAATAAAGTAGACTATTACTAAGCACTGTACATAAATGTTTGATGAAATACATAATAAAAATACTGATTCCAATACTAGTACTAAAATAAAAGTATGCTTGCAGTCGATTTCATTGGTGGATTTGATCCTCAAACCATTTGGTAAGTGGTTGTAAATGGGAATGCACAATTATTTAGTAATTCTTAGATTAAAGCTTGTATTTATTATTTCCCCTTGATTTTGTATATTTTTATTTCATTAAATTTGTATAGTGCTACTTCTATTTTCCTCAATATTTGTTGTCTTCCTGGTAATTATGTTTCTTATATTTCAGTATTTATGTTATTTCCCTTTTCTTAAAATTAAACTTTTTTATACTTACAGATATGTCTTTAACTTTTTTTCTGATGCCTATATAAATTCATCTATTTTATATTATTTCTCCCAATACTTAGTTTCTTTCCTTATTTGTTTTTATTTTGATTTAACTTCTCATTTTCCTGATTTATTCCTAATTTCCTTGGCAATACTTTTATTGGATTTAATTTAATTAACTAAACCAACAAAATCAAAAATCAATTTAGTTTGAGACTATTGAATTTGTAGCAGGCTTACCCCTATTTATAGTTCATTAACCAACCAATAAAGTGGTTAAGGATCAAAGATGATTTTCCAGATTATATATTATATTATGTCTAATTTAACTATCACAAAAATGTCGCTTTTACTTCCTATGCATTTAAAAGCATTTTTATTGCCTAGGAAGTATAAGTGACATTAATAAAATAAGCTACGAACTTATTTATAGCGAGTGAACCATTTTCAATTTTGCTACTCATTTTTTTTCTTTTATTGAATAAATGAGAAGTTAATATTGTTTAAAATATTTTTATTATCTTCCAATACATGTAGATTATTCAGGAATTTTTATCATTGAAACTATATGTTTATGGTAACTGAAATAAGAAACATAATTTTGAGACTTGATATCCTCTAAATATCTGGAAAATATCGCGTCAATGGTGGTACCATATTTTGTTGTGAATTCTTGTGGATCATTATTCATTTTCAAATTAAATTTTTCCAAAATTGTGTCTAAAAGAGATAGAATCAGTTATGAGCAGCTAGTCTTCACGCATACGTCTAGTCTACACGCATACGTCTAGTCGTACGCACACAAACACCGTGCCGAAGTCTGCCGAACTGAAACGAGACGTTAGACGATGCACGGCTTTCAACGCCGCACCGCTGTGCCGGTCGAAGTGGAGGGTGTTAGGTTTATTTTCGTTACGGAATTTCTTTTTCGATTATTGGATTTTTCAATTTTACGATTTTTCGATTGTTCGATTTTTCTATTGTTCTATTTTTTGATTTTTCGTTTTTGCGATTTTTCGTATTTTCGATTTTTCGATTTTCTTTTATTGAATAAATGAGAAGTTAATATTGTTTAACGCCGCACCGCTGTGCCGGTCGGAGTGAGGGGTGTTAGGTTTTTTTTCGTTAGGGTTTCGTTTTTTTTCTTGATTCGGTCGCCGCGCTCAAAGCCTGCGATAAAAGCTATGCAATAGCTTAAAAACAAAATTCATGTTACTAATTAACTTGTTGCATTTTTGGAAATATGAAAATGAAAAATCCCCAATCCCACCTTCGAAATTATTAAAATTACACCCTCATATCCCCAAAGTGAAAACAAACTAAAGAAAAATTGAAAAAGCTGAGAATTTTCCAGGAGAATGACAGATTTTTTATTGTTTAATTTTATTGTTTGCACATTAGATACCAGCAGTCCAGTTGGTACCAAAGTGGAGATTTGTTCTCTAAACCCAAATTAAAATTTTGAAATTTGGTCGTTCACTAATGCTAATAGTTTGTAATGCGTTTTTTAAATAATTTTCCCAATACTGGAAGAAGGTCTGTACCTGGTTCTGGGATAACTATGATGGTGCCTTTTTCCATTTTCATGGAAAGTACGAGTTTTTGTAACAATACAAACACTTTTATAATACAGATGTGTATATTATGTTCTAGTTTTTTCACAATTTACCATGGAATTGTGTCCGATCCTGGAGCGGAGTTTTTCTGATTGGATAATATTTGAAACTATTTTCCTCCTCGAATTCTATGTTCTTCTTCGTTGCTTGGGTTGTTCCGGAAAAAGTTCCAGTTTCAGTTTTCTCGTTCAAAAGATGGGTCCATTATATGATTTAATGAAGTTATCACTGAATATAACAGCCTTTTCTTCATCTGTGGCATAGACTAAACCATTCTCTGTAATATTTTTGATTTTATTCTTTCCTCTATATTTTGAAAGCTTATTTATTTTATGATAGAAGTTTCTTTCCTGTTCTAGATTGATTTCTTGACATGTCTATAGCCACGTGTGTTGCTGTACTTTTTTCATTTTTGAATGTCTTTGTTAAAGTTGTTGATATTTGTTTTGATTTCCTGGCTAGGGTTAATATATCACTGGAAGAAACATGCTCATCTATACAGATAGCAGACAAGCACTACTCACCCTGGACAAACCACAAATTTATTCAGGGTTAGTACTAGAATATGATGAAGCTTTGGCTGAAGTATCCATTAACAATGTGGTCAAATTAAGATGAATCAAAGGTCACGCCACATCAAAAGGTAACCATCTTGCTGATTCACTTGCCAAGAAGGCGGCTAACCAAATACTTTTTGGACCTGGCCCTTCTATTGGACTGACAGCATCGGTACTGACAAACCTAATTAAATAACATTCCCTTGTGGAATTCAAGGAAAGATGGGATGAAACGAGAAGCTGCAGACTTGCCAGGGAGCTTTTAAGTTATCCTGACAACACTACAGGGGACAAATACTTTTTTTTGGCATAGGTACATTACTATTCACAGATTCGTCCATAATTAGAATTACCCAAAAATATTTCCTAGCAGCAAGAGGTGTAAGAAGAAGAAAAACAATATATGACGGGGACACTCGCTTCTCAAAAACAAATACTTGACTATCACTAAACAGAATCTGCACCTGATCACAGACATTCTGACTGGACTTTGCCAACTACGGGAGCATCTCCATATCATGGAGCTATCTGAATGCGCACTTTGCAACGGGTGGAAACAAGAAGATGAGACAATTGAGTATATCCTCTACGATTGCCCGACACTCTCATTTATTAGATATAAGAGAAGCACCTCTTGGCGACGTTGTCATCTACATTTAATATGTAGGCTGGCTCACGAGCTAGGAGGTGCCTATCTACTTAGGAGGATGCACAGTGGGCCTAGTGAGGTCTAGGAGCCGTGGATTAACCCACCCTCCACACGTTACAGATGCGATGTATTGACGAAATTCGTGGGTAAAATATTTGTTTGCAGTTTTTGGTGTTGTTTGCGATTATCTCCGAGACCTTTACATGAAAGTTATAGACATAATTGGTGATAATATTAGTGTTGTTGTTTGAAATTAATTGGGTTACTTTATTATTTATATGTTCAATGTTTGTTTTATTGAAATGTTGTTTTAGAGGTTGGTCTGCAAAAGGAGAGGATATTCCTTGCTTTATAGTAAACATTATAGAATGGTGGTCTTCAAAAAAAGTATATTGTCTCATTAATCACATTTAAAGAAAAGTTTTTTCTCAAAATAATATAAAAAGTCTTAAAGTGGCCCGAAGTAGATTAAGAAGAAATGAGAAAACCACAAAGTGTCAAACACAGGATATTTAATTAAAAGACTATGTTTTTCTTGTTTCTTCTTGATTTATTATATAATTTTAAACGAATTTGAAGGGGTAAGCCACTTCCTATAGTGTAAAATGTAGCTAAAAGAAAAGGCTCAAAGGTATAATTGATTTTTGGTTTAATTGCTGTTTTATTATGCTTGAGGTGTCTAGCTATGTGGTAAAACTTTCGCTTTTTATATTTTCAGTTAATTATGAGAAGCCAAATGCACCTGATAGTATATTATTACACCCAACGTATGTGACCAGTGATAACATATACAGTTCTAACAAATTTCTGCACACTTCTAATACCTATCTCTTTTCTAACCAAGATAAGCATCACAAAAATCGACCTTTGGGGGTCGATACAATTCGTGATCCAAAACGGAGAAGTAATTCCTTCAATAATTTATCAGTAGGTCCAAGAAAGGGTCCAAAGAGACCGATTTCGCTATGTTCTGATGCTTATATAGATATATCTTAAAGTTACACAACATTATTTTGTAGGTATAAGTAGTAGTTCTTGTCAGTTTTGTTGGGCTGATCATTTTTATGTTACTTTTTATGCTAACTTAATACAGCTTTTGCGCATGGATTACTATATTTATTGCATGTTTTATTGTAATTATGTGTTTGACTAATTAAATTTTTATTTGAATTATATATTATTTCTTATTTCATTTTAAAAGGAATCTACACTTTGCAGACTGCTTATTAATGTTTTATAATAAAAGTGTATTTTCTCTTAAAATCAAATCTTTTTCTCAACATTTCAAAGTCAAATTTGTAATTCTTGTAGACCTAATTAAATAGCTACAGTCTATTGATAAATACTCTTTGACATTTTATTTTATAGAAAGAAATCCTTTTTTAGATTCGTTACAATCACATATTTCGTCACCCTCATCAACAGTATGCTATAAATTGGATTTTCTTGAGATTCATTTCACTTTATCTATCAATAACTTAATTAGGTATTCAACTTAAAATTATGACCTATCTTTTGTAATTGGTGACACAAATAAATTGTGATAAAATAAAGAAGTGGTTCGTTTTTCACTTTGAGAAGTGTATTGAATTAATAACATTAATTGGTAATATTATTGACATGTTTTACTAATTTCTAACAGCGTCATGTAAATCGACTCCCCGCAAGAATAAAAACAAGAACACGAAACCTCGTCTCTCCCTATATTCAATTGAATTCAGCTCTCAACTTGAAAACCGACATGGCGACAGCGACAATGAATTTGATCAAATTCCAACTCCTGTTTCACCTAAGCCGATGACGCCTAGGAGAGTAAAAAGGCGCAGCGTTATGACAAGAGGTTCTTCAGGTCGGCATAGTACAAGTAGCCATAGATCTCATGCTAGATCTTCCACAAGGTCTAGAAAAATGGCTCAAAATCCGGTAACAAGACTTTTAGAACAGCAGCAAAAGAAATCTTACGACAGCCCATCTAGTTTATCTCCGATCGAATCGCCGCTTCCTAATTATTATAACTCTCCAAATAACAATTTAGTTGCTCACCAGAAATGGAGGGTTAACACTGGACACACCAATCCAAATTATCAACAGTCTTCCCAACAGAGTCTCAATGATACTGAAGAACTGGATGATTTATATAACAATAGACCAGCGTCAGTGCGATCGAGTTATTCTAACTTTCATGGTACAAGAACTTTGAACTACTCTCCCCCAAAAACTTATCATCATAGCCTTGCTACTCCGCAAGTTCCTCAAAAGAGGGGACATCCTAATCGTAATAGTATGAGATCTATGGCGTTTTTAAACAGTGGCCCTCCTGCTTATACTTCTCATGGACAACTACCGCTAGACTCTGAGACTCCAATGTAGATAGGTAATTTATTTTTGTAACTTTAGATAAAATAATTGAACAGATGATTCTACATCAGTTAATTGGTGATCAAATTTTGTTGAATTTAGACAAAGGCATTTGATTAAATAGTTACCTTTTTATTCAAATTTTGTTCAAATATATGTACCTCGTATATAAAATTATGCATCATCAATTCATATTATCTCTTATACAACCAGTTTGTTAGAACAAAGATTGACCAAATTAACTATATTGTCAATTGCTTTTGTTAAACTTAAAGTGAATTGGTTTCAATTTGATGTAAAACCTCAAGAGAGAAAGAGAGAAATAGTTTAGTTAGCAATCTTCAAAATTAAAAAATATATATTAGCAGTTATATCAGAACATTTGTAAACCTAGAACGGCATCTGTTTTTAAATAAATATGTACAAAATACAAATCTCTTTGAATCAGACTTGGCTATTAACATTTAACACATTTCATTGGATTATGAATTTTTTGCCATGTTAAGTATAAAAAGACTAAATAACGTTAGGTAACATACAGATCGTATGTTTGAATTTGTTACTGTATACGGATTGGAAAACATGATTTTGGAACATGCATTGAGAAGAGCCTAAAATATTGAAACTAAAAAACAAATTGTAGCAAATAATTTCTCGATTAGAATGAAACTTTCTAAAAATTATCTAATTTGTGACTAGCACGAAATGCATGTTAAATAGTTAATACTAATTGACTGGTCAGCTAAATGTCATGGCTCTGGCTTAAATTGTGAAACATGTTCTGAAATTATTTTTCCGAATTTGTATACATGTATAACATGTGTCACATTGCATGCAGTGTTCGCTCGGGGAGGAGATTGTTAACTTTGAAATATTTAAAGAATGTATAAGGTATGAAATATATTTTTTAGGTATTAATATTGCATTAAATTAATGAATTTAAAGATTAAACATCCCAGGCAACACACTTTGGTATAAATTACGTCTTTTTTAGGTATTACCATACGTATGAATACGGTTGATGTACTACCCAATATATTCGTGAAAATGTCCGCCCTATAAACGTATATTATTTGTCATATAAGCGTCGCTTACTACTAATTTATTCCTAACGTTTACTCCGCCGATGCAGGCCAGGCGTATTACTGCAAAAAGGAATTATAATGGGTTATTTTTGACATTTTATGAAATAATCAACTGACAAATAAAATATGGAAAATGAATGTGATAGGAATAACGAGATACTAAAAAACACTTATAAAAATAAGAGAAACAAAAATTAGAAAGTAAGGTTATGTTTAAGATTTTCTGTAATCATCTTACCTATAAAAGAGTAGTTGTAAAATGCAGGAATTATTGAATGAATAGCTAAAATAAAACATTAATATAAACTTACCTTTGCTTTCAATCAATATTTAACGACCTACACAACAATACCACATATGACTACACTACGCAATACACGCATACGCAAGAGTAGAATTGAGAAAAGATCGTAGCCATGTTAAGCTTTTAATATAAATAAACCTAAATGTATGCATATTATTTACTTATGTCTACTAGTTTATCGCAAACTGGAAATATGCGTGTAAGCTAAATTATATTTAAACTTATAATATACAATAACTGGTATCTAAAAAAAAAGAAAACATTTAATTTATACAGTGTGACAATTTAAAAACTTACAATGAGCTATATCTCACAAACGAAAGATGTTATCAAAAAATGCTTAAAAACGTTTCTAGGACAGGAAGTGAAACTATAATGACAAAAAAGAACTCGCGTCCATTAACCCCCTAGGCCCCATCTACCCCTACTAAAAAAGTTTAAATAGCTAACCCCTTCTTGTGAAAAGCCTATAAAAATGCTATCCAACGGTATAAATAATAATTGTACAGGGTCAATCAATAATTGGGCAACCTTGCCTTAAAAGGAAAATTTAATGAAGTTTTTGTTGAACTACAAATTTGTGAGTTCTCTTTTATGTCATTTTAGTTCCCCCTTCCTATCCTAGAAACGGTATTAAGCATTTTTTGATATATTTCGTTTGTAAGTTTTTAAATTGTCACACTGTATATATAGGGGTCTATTCTGTAACTATAGTTGTTATCTGGTAACTTTCTAACCACTTGCTATCTTACCACTTTCATAGCAACTTTATGTAACAACTTTGACATAAATAGCTATTCACGATTACTAAATTAATCTATGCTGTATACAGTTATGCTACCGATCAAGTTGCTATGATCAAGGTCAGTTGTTGTATTACCACTTTGAGAAAATCGGAATTCTGTAAGAAAAATCTGTAACAACTAGTGGTTATAAAAGTGGATTCAGAGTTATTTGGAAGCAACCAAATATTCTTGATGGTTAAGCCTAACAACTAGTTGCTAAAAAAGAAATATTATGGACTCTGGATAATAAATATTTTAATAGACCAAGAAATTAATGGAAGGTATTTTTACTGATAGAATAATAGATATATTATTTCTTCCAATGGTTTGATTTAGAAATGAAGTAAAATTTCAGAAAAGGCTATATTAATTCTTTCGATCTGTATATGTAAGAAGGGGCGACCCTCCATGTCACTTAGGCCTTAATATGCCCATTGTGCATCCTTCAGGGAATTTAAAACCTGCCTCTCAGCTCTCCAAAACGTCTGCCGGTTGATATATAACGTCACTGAGAGCTGTCTATAAGAACCACCTCTTAGATCATCAAATGGCCTGCATGTCTGCTTGCGATAAAATTGCACATGCACTTTTCCTGTATTGATGAATATTTACAAAAACGACATATTTATGACTTTTTTTTAATTTTAAATCAGTCCACCAACAAAATATAAAAACTCCTAAATAATAAATTATATTTCACTAAACGTCCATGACCGGGAGATATAAACCTCAGTGGTCCTGACCCTCCTGTCTTAAAGGTTAAGTTGTTTAAAGTCTGATTTACACCACACATACAACTTTATAGCAACTGCGAATACTAGAATAGCCACTTTTGTCAAAGTTGTTATTCGGTTGCTATAAAAATAATATAACTTGTAAGTGTGGTGTAGAGCAGTCTTTTAACAACTTAACCTTCGAGTCGGAAGTGCCGGGACGTCAAGTGAAGTGTAATTTTATCATTTGGAAATGGTTACATTTTGTTGGTGGACTGGCTTAAAATTAAAAAAAAAAAACTTAATGTAAAAATGTATTATGCAATTTTATATCATGCAGATCTGTAGGCCTTTTGAAGATCTGAAGATTACAAGCAATAAATAGTAGGCTTTGCTGAATACTTACTTTATTCCTAAAACAAATCATTAGAAAAAAATATAAGTTCCGATTATCTTATCAATAAACATACCTCTGATATATTTAAATATTTATTATCCAAAACAACCTTTGGATAATATTTCTTTCCCAGCAACTGTATAGTTATTATGTTTAGGACCGATTTTTACATTAAAAATGTCATTTTAATCTCCGTTTAACACAACGGTGGAATCGGCCCTCAACCACCAAGAATGTTTGATTGCTTCTAATTCACTCGAAATCCACTTTTATAACCACTAGTTGTTACAGATTTTACTTTAGAGAATTCTGATTTTATCAAAGTGGTAACATAACGACTGACCTTGGTCTAAGCCACTTGCTAGCTAGCAACTGCATGATACAGAATAGACTACTAAAAATACATGTTAAACGTTTAAGAAATCAACCAAGACGAAATTTAAACGGGAGTTATTAACGAAAAATACATATAATATTACATGAATTTATACGAATTTAATTTAAATAAACTTAAACGAAAATTTAGGCACACTGTTTATAAATCGTTCATCTCAAACTAAAAATAGTCGCATATTGTTAACTATATTTAAACGTAGATTAATTTACAATTATATACCATACGACGTATAAAAAAAATGTATATCATTTAAAAAACGGTATGTACAATAATAGTAAACGTATACAGAATCAACCAATACAAAATTTAAACGAAAATTACGTATAAAATACGTTAATTATTACTAATGTGTGCTGCCTGTGACGGAAGGTAAAAATATTATTAGTAACAATAAATATACATTCAAAGTTAGAGGGTTTTAAAGCCATGCCTAACTCTACTCGACCGTAGTAGGCGTCGTTTGCTTTGACAGATATATCCTGGAGTGCATTTAGAAACCTCGCACGGTGCATCTGGACTCTTTCCTAATGTATGTGGCCAGACGCGCCGTGCGAGTTTTCTACACGCACTCCTGTGACAAAAAAATCTCGTCACCCACTAAATGTGTATATTTTTTAAATACATTTTTTACATGTGTTTATGGTGTAAAGAATAACAATGTAATAGCCAAGTCCGATTTTAAAAGATGTGAACAGATTGAATGCATAACATTGGGTCCTATGATTGAACGTTTACGTTAATTTTAACACGAATCTGTTATGTTATGCTAACAGGGAATAGATAACGTATGAAATAACAGTAGGTGTCATATCCGTATGATTGAAGTAGTCGATAACAAGATATTGAGCTAGCTGTTATGAATGGAAGAAAGTATATATTTGCGTTATTGCGCGTGCGCACAAAATGTACCTAACTTCATTTCTAAAAATGACTAAAATGAGATTTTTCATGTTTTTCTGAATGAAAAAAAAAAAAAAACAATTAGGTTAGAATTTTTTGTAGTTCATTTTTCAGTTTTATTTAATTTATTATGTCGAAAAGATTAGGGACCGATTCCACCGTTGTGTTAAACGAAGTTTAAAATGACATTTTTACACTAACAGTGTCATTTTAATCTCTGTTTAACACAACGGTGGAATCGGCCCTAGCTAAAACAGCTGTGTAATAGTATGAGGAACTACTTAATTTTGTTAGAAAAAACAAAATTATTCTCACGGGGAAAACAAATATATTAAATAAAAAAAAAATCAAACCTTTGGCTAGTATTTACAAATCATATAAATTAAAAACAAATTCAAATATATTAAGAATTCAGATAATTAGCAATATAGGTATTAGATAATTAAATAATAAACAAATAAAGTGGTAACATAGACGTTGGGCACTTAACGGCCTTGTTATTCGAGGCTGTTGAGGTGATACGTTAAATTAGAACATAACAGGGGTCGATTCTCGACTCGTAGGAATATTTTCCTATAGGAATTTTTGACATTTTTACATACATCGAAAATTTATGACATTTTCCTACATATAGGAAAGTGTCACAAATTCCTATAGGAAAAGGTTCCTACAAGTCGAGAATTGACCCCCTGGTGGAAAATAACAGTAACGTGTTATGAAAAACTTTACATCATACGAAATTGTCTCGTTGCTGTTAAAACTCGGCCTAACATGTACGTTACGGATAACGTAAACGTTCAATCATAGGACCCATTGACACATAATTTAAATCATTAAGACGGTAAGTAGAGACAAACAAATCGAAAAATTTAACAATAATTCTAACATTTTTTAAACTTCATGGTAAGGTACACAGTCGGCAACATTGTCAAAAATGGCAAAAAAACGAAATTATTGTTGGACGGTGAAAAATCTAACAGCTGCAAATTAAATAATATCATTTTCATTTTAATATTTAAGATCTAAAGTTTTTGCAGCCACTTTATGACTCCGGCAAAGTAATTAATTGGTATTAGTAAATATTATTTAATTCCATCATCGGAAAGAATTGCAAATTTTCACAGACATTTAAGGCGATATTAGTATACTGTGATTTTGCAAGTATGTTAATATTTTGGTTACTAAATGATATCAAATAATGTTAATTAACAGCAATTAATTACCTTGCGGAGTCATAAGTGGCTGCAGATTTAGCTTTAGATCTTAAATATTGAGATCAAATTGCAGCTATCAGAGACAACTCACGAGACAAATAATTATGCTTTAAAGTTATTTTCATTATTTGTATATCATTCGATTTCTTTCTATTTTACTTGTTTCTCATAAATCGCTCCTTGGAATGAACCATGAAAGGTGAACGCAGGGGGAGCCCGCGGTTCGTAGATAACATGGTGGCCTCTTCCGTCCGTTGCTAAGGAAGGTTGTGACGCCACAGAATGAAAAATCGAGCTGGTAGAAAATATTCTGCTGCGGTTCGTACATTAATTTTTTAAAAAATCTAATATTTTATTAATATTTAGTGGCGTTTATATTTTTTATTTTTGGACTATATACCTGTGTTAGAGTTTTTATAAGGTCGGTAATTTGATTTTTTGAAAGACAAGCTACAGAACGGCATGGAAAAATCATATAATGATTTCCATCAAATTTCTAAATGAACTACTTTTTATTTGAATTTTAAAGAGAAATATTATT